AATACTTTTTCACCTCATTTCGCTACCGTGTCTTTGTAGTCAGCGGTCATGAGTTGAGTGAATGACATGATGCGCGATGACGTGTGCGTGAGAGCTATGGTCTGGTTGGGAGTGTGATTGCTGGGCAGTTGGCTGAGAGGCTCGGAGGAGAGCGGAATATAGCTTTCTTGGTTACGTGGAAGCAGGAGTTCTAAATCGCTACAAGCTATTTCGGCATTTCGACATCATCATGGACACACCGACAGAGACGGGCGCTGTGGTGCAGGAATCTGAGCAGGTCCGTCTCGGAGCTGGACTCGATCCTCGCCTCATCGACGAGTACGACGGGAGCGGCGACGTCGTCGAATGGCACACGCAGGCGTCACTGCTCTGTGAGTATCGCGGTGTGTCGGCGGCGGAGGTGTTGCCCATGCGGCTGAAAGGTGGTGCTTTCGCCGTGTGGTCACAGCTGTCCGCGGTGGACCGCCGGTCAGCAACGGCGACACGAGACGCCTTGTTTAAGGCGTTCGCCATGGACGACTTCGCGGCTCACACAGCATTCGTCGCACGTCGGCTAGAGCCGGGAGAGAGCGCTGATGTCTTCCTGGCGAGTCGGCGCCGCTATGCTGCCCTGTTCGGCGGCGTGACGGACCGACAGCTGGTAGCTGCCTTCGTCAACGGTCTGCCGGCGTCCGTGGCGGACACAATCCGAGCAGGAACCAGGTCAGAGCAACTCAGTCTGGAGAGCACAGTCGCCCGCGCGCGGGCGGTGCTTGGTAATGACCGGACCCAGAGCCTGCCGCACGGCCGGTGGCTGCCGCGGCAATCGCGGACCCACGGCCGGATGTCGACCCCGCACGGATACGCGCAGTGCACGAAAGTACTGGACATCAGGGAGTCCGTCGGACCCTCTGGTACGTGCGGCGGAATGAAGACGCCCGTGCCACCCGGTCGGCAGTGCGCGCCGTGATCCAACAGTGTGATGTGTGCCAGTCCATTGACCCAGCACCGGTACGTTGGCAGCAAGGGTCACTGAGTGTGCCGCTGACGTGGGAACGGCTGGCGATCGACGTTACGCACTACCGGGAACGGTCCTATCTGACTGTTATTGATTGTGGACCATCCCGGTATGGAATTTGGCGACTACTGCGCCGGTCAGATGCGGCTGAGGTGACGAACCAGCTGGAAAACATCTTCCTGGAAAGAGGCGCGCCCGCAGAGCTTCTGCTGGACAACGCCACGGAGTTCCGCAGTCGTCGGATGGCGGCATTCGCCGCGCGGTGGGGCGTCCGGCTGCGCTTTCGGGCGGTGCACGAGGCGGGCGGCAACGGCATCGTCGAGCGCCACCATCGGACAGTCAAGGTGATGGCAGCCCGACAAGGCTGTACAATCGGGGAAGCAGTGCACCGCTATAACGCCACGCCTCGTGACGGGATGCATCCTAGCAGCGCTCCTGCAGCAGGTGTCTTCCAGCGCGCTGGCCACGACCTCCCGCTGAACATCGACGAACCCGGCCGAGCGGTGTCCAAAGTGGACGATGGCGTCCAGAGTGCACGCAAAGCGTTCCGGGTCGGTGACGCTGTGTGGATACGCCGCCGAGGTCAGCCGACGCGGTGCACGGACGTGTCGCGGCGGGGCGTGGTGACCCGACTGTTACCGGCACCACTGGTGGAGGTGGATGGTGCCCCGTGGCATGTGCGCTGCGTCCGACGACGGTTCGAGGAGGTTGGCGACACAGACAGTATGAGTGACTGTGAGTCCGAACCTGAAGACTGCCTATCAGAGATCAGGACGCTGCGGCTGCACGAGAAGCCGTCCGGTTCGGTGTCGGGGACGGGACAGGACACTGACCCCCCGCCTCCCGAGCCGCCCGATACGGGAGCACCGGTGGAGACGAGTGAAGATGCAGCTGACGTTCCGAGTGAGACGTTCAGCGGTGCACGGGAGGACGCTCAGAGTGAGGTTACGGAAGCCCAACGAGAACAGAATGGCCAAACCGTACTGCGGCGTAGTACACGTGTGAGAAGAGCCCCGGAAGAGCTGTATGGACAGAGTGTGCCAAGCGAGTGTATCGATGTTGATGATGAATAATGATGATGATTACTGATAATCAGGTGGAGGTGTAGTCAGCGGTCATGAGTTGAGTGAATGACATGATGTGTGATGTAGCATGATGGACACAATAGGGAATGTGAGTAGCGTATGAGTCAGGCGCGCGGCGAGACTGAGCTGCGGGACGTGACCCGGTGACCCAGTGTGAGTCATCCGCCGCCGCCGCCGGACGTCGGGGCGGCCGGGTTACGCCCCCTGATCAGTTGCACAGGGGATGACGTATGACAATGTGATTGGCTAATGATGATGCGCGATGACGTGTGCGTGAGAGCTATGGTCTGGTTGGGAGTGTGATTGCTGGGCAGTTGGCTGAGAGGCTCGGAGGAGAGCGGAATATAGCTTTCTTGGTTACGTGGAAGCAGGAGTTCTAAATCGCTACAGTCTTATGAGACTTTCTCCTGCCATTTTTATGGTTTGGAGCAATCATGCACCGTCATTTTCCAAGAAAAGGCGTGAGGTAGGGATAGGGGGACAATGCTAGAACGCTATACCAGCAGCATTACACACGTCCACCTGCGTACCGTCGTTCGTCCTGCCACGCCCTGTCCTGTCGGCGCCTAGGCTGCATCAGCGAACCAGCGGCTGCCGCGGCCCAGATGTAATATGCATTCGGACTGGACCGGCGTCAACGTATGGACGCCGCTGAGTCACGGGCATACGTCGCACCCGACGGTATGTCGCTCAGTTTAGAGGGGAGTTGTGTATCTTGGGTGTCAGACAGACGCCATTTCCATGCGCTTTCGGTCCGTGATGTGCGTAGCGGAGATCGACAGTGCTTTATTTCATTTCAGAGGCCCCGGCGAAACATCTGTGCCGGAGATTCAGGTGGAATTTAAGACGATTCATGTCGAAAATGGACTGAGAAGGCCCATGAGTTTTAATAACATTCCTAGCATGGCCAATGGCCGCTACATCGCTGTTTCCGAGTCCCATAAGAGCGTCTACTTCAGTTCATGAGACCGTAGTAACCGTCATGCTATTGTCCAGCTGTCTCATTTGATGTCTTCTGTTGAGTGCCTATCACAATACCTAGCCCAGTGTGGGATGACACTCCGCTCTCACCCCGCGGAGATTCTCTCGCCGCTGCTGTCCGGTCGGGGTCCCACCTGGGCGGTAAAGGACCGACCAAACCGGCCCGTAACGCGCCGAGCTCCGGCCGCGGTCTCGGACAACACGCTCTGACGGCGCGCACGTGCCTCGGACTTTGTGGACGTGCCTACGGCCCGGTACGGCCGGAACGGCACGGCAGGGAACGCCACGGGCGTGCGGCAAAACAAAACCGGCTGTGTGATCGTCAGTCGAGGCGCACGGCGTGGCGTGTTGTGTCGTGTAAGCGGTTCCAATTCGATGCTGATGGAGCGTCTCGGCACGGCTGAGGGATCGTTGACCTGTGCCTCAACACGGACCTGCTCCAATGATCGTGCATAGTTTCGTGGCTTGTGACTCATCAGTTGATCTTTGTCTCATCCGGCTGACCTTCCGGTAATGCGTGGCTGATTGGAGACCGGCGCTGCCCGCCCGGTCACCGCCTCAACCCAGGAGCTCCCGGTTCGGTCTGCGGCCGACGGCCTGTGATTTCAGAGCCCGACGCCGGGCTCCAGCAGCGCTCATGCGCTGGCGTCGGCTCACTCTCAGTTTCCCCAGGGAGTCGCGAGCTAGCGGCGCCCTCCTGGCTCTAATGGCACTCCTGTGCTCGCGTCGAGGGGGCCGCACGCGCTATATTAGCTCTAGTCCCCCCTGACCATCAGGCCGATGACCTGACACCACTTATGGTGACCTGACTCGAGTGGTGAATGATGGCCTGACTCGGCTGGTGACCCGGCCTGAACGGAATGGCCTCTGTCCGTGTTGAGCTGCAGCGATGCGCTCCGAAAATCAGGAGATTGTGGAGCTCGACATCTCAGCTGTTCCGGGAAGCTCGTCTTCTGGCCATACAGCTCCATTCACCGGCGCGGTGGTGTCTCCGTCCACCCACCCGTCCCAGACAAGACGGACCGAGCGGTGGCGACCGAGACGAGACCGCTCATCAGCCCCCGGCCGACATCAAATTTGGCAGCTGTTTACCGTGTCTGCGGCGCGCGCCGGCGCTGCTTACGGCCGTAATGACGCACTCCAGCCGGCGGCCTTTGTGGCGCGCCGTTATTGCCGGCGAGTGGCCGCCGCCGCGCCACCGCCACCGCCACTGACGCCTCTGTTGTCCGCCGCCGACCCCCTCTCCACTACCCCCCTCCCGACGGCGAGCGGCGCTGACCGGGCTTCAAAGGAAGCCTCGTCGCCAACCCTGGCGTAATCAACGCTGGGGAGGGGAAGGTGCGTACCCACTGAGACGCATCTAAGGGACGACGGTTTGGCCATTGGACCGGGCGCTGTGTCCTAGGTAGGTCGTTTATTACGCTCGGCGAGCGCTGGCATTACTATTCTCGGCCCGGCGGCGTATTTTTCCCTGGTGGACTGTTCCTAACTCGGGCGCCATTTTCTGGGGTCTTTGTAACGGTCCGGAACCTGATTGAAACAGTCTAAATTCATTCGCAGTTTCTAAACTTTGTGTAAATACCTACTGCGCTTGATATGAAGGGACCGCTAGGAAGTTTGCTTTTAGCTTACGGTCATAAAAGGCTGGGATGGAGAAAGAATCTGCTGCGAGTGGAAACTCGGGTGAATGTAGTCCCATTTTGATATCGCATCGATCCAGCTGTTTTTCACTTCAGCATATCAAAACGAGCTCGGAAACTGAATGAAACACATTTCATTTCTGTCAACGAACCCGCGAAAAACCAATCAAACAATCACCAACTTTTTAACTTCGCCATTAAGATTTCCCCGGCGTTGTTTCAATCGCATTACATACCTACCCCGCGCGTCTCCCCAATAAGCGGCTCCCTCTGACCTACCCTCTTCTCTCTCGGCAGACTTCATCCAGGCGAAGCTCTCTGTGCGCATGACCTCGGGACCGGACTTTGTGGCTACGGACTTTGGCTTCTACAACTGTCACCGTTACCAGCACTGCAGCCAGTGTGTGAGCTCTCCGTTCCCGTGCGACTGGTGCGTCGACGGACACCGGTGTACGCACGACACAGCGGAGAACTGCCGCAACGACATCCTCGTCACCGGACTGAAGGTAAGGGAGACCTGCTGCAACCGCATCCCAGTCACCGGGCTGAAGGTGAGGGGTAGCCACGTCACCGGACTGAAAGTAGCAGGAGGGGGTGGGGACAGGGGGACATCCTCGTCACTGGACTGGAGGTGAGAGAGCCCTTCCTGATGGCTCCGCGGTGACCTTGTCGGTCGGTATACCCAGGTAGGAAAATAGGAAGAGAACCGTTTGAGACGGTTTTTGCAAGTGAATGCCTCAATGATTTTTCCTAGCCGTGTTAGTATATTGTCACTGGGTCTGTTATGTCCGAAGCGACCTTCCTTTAACTCATACCCGTCATATTATCTTAATTAGCGGTCTCAAGGAAGCAGCACGTTGACTCATGGAATCCCTCTGTTCACGGTGGAGGGTGGCACGGAGGCCATCAGTTGCAGTTTTGTCTCTGCGGGAGAGCGGCGGGTGTGATAATAACACCGCCTCAGTCCGCTCTAAGTGTGCCCCAAATGGTCATGAGTGACCATCGCGACCGCTGGACACATTTACCCGCTCATAATATGGCCGGTTTCACATCGGCAATGACTTCCGTTTGAGCCCGTTCGCGGCCGGTGGCTTCCAAGACTGGGCCGCCAATGAGAGTCGTCAGAGAGATGATTAGGGTGAGAACTGACCACTGTCGAGTGCAGGTGTGCCGTGTGGTGCTGAGCGCTGTGACAGGTAGGCATGCTTCAACATGCCCGCCGGTCATCCACCTGGGTTGACACTCGATCTCGGATCGGAGCCCTGCCCGCTTTGTTCGTGGACTTTGTGGTGCAATACTCGCGCCGTCGCGACGAGTTTCAGTGCAGTTTCAGTGCAGTTCAGAGTGTCGCTGGCATTAGTGATGCATTGGACGGAGACGATGCGGTGGCCCTTGGGCGGCAGTTCGGGCCGTCTCGGTCGCAGCGGGAGCTCTGAAGCTGCAGGGAGGGGCGACTGTTCTCTGCTGTGGAGAGAGAGAGACTGAGGCAGCTCCCCTGTCTGGAGCTGCGAGCGCACAGAGACAGACGCCAGTTACGGTTTGCAGTCTCTCAATAATTTGTTACCACTGATTGCAATGCTTAGTGAGTGCATGCCTTGACCAAGGCGTTGGCCTTATTTGGGGCTTCTTAATTTGCGGTGCAGCTATCGTTAGATATTATCTATCGTCGATCTTAATGCTACTGGATTTGTTCACCCATTGTTCGATGTATCATCTCCTCGGTGTGTGTCGATTATCGTTACGACTTACCTGTTTGATGATTCTGTTCGGTGCTCGGTGGGTCGCTTTCACTCATTACCGTCAGCATCCATCACTGACGGGACTCGACAGGGCGGTCGGGCTGCGACAGAGCTCTGCTGCTATCAAGAGCAACGGTTAATTCCTCTCTGAACACTATATACGCCCGTCTTCACCTGAGTGTGGTCCATACCGGCTTCACCACTCCGCTGTGTTTCTGTATGTTTCCCTTTTCCCTTGAGGTCAGGTATAACACGATCCTGTGCCGTGTCGCGCCAGCGATCCGTGTGCCCTGTGTCGTGTCGAGCGTGCCGGCCAACCGACCGGTCCTGTCTCCTCCAGCGGCTACCAATTAGTACAGCTCGCCTGTGTGCCGCGGCTGGGTGCCCTGGGTGGTTCCCAGTACCCTCCCATCGGTACTGGCACAGAGACAATGCCGCGGTGGGGGTTACAGAAGATGGGATACCACAGGTACGAGCGCATCCTGCCCCGTGTCGGGGGCTGCCACCAGGAGCTCGGCCTACCAAGGCCATCCCTGCCGGTTTCCTATGCCATCTCCGCGCCGGACTGACGCAGTAACCGGCGGACCATTGCCATGCCACTGTGCTGCGGTGACCACCGCGTCCGGATGCCTGCCGCCTTGATGTCGTGGCAACCTTGAGAAGGGCGCCGGTTATCGGCTGACTGCGGAGCGGGCAGGTCGCATAGGCAGCTGCCTATCGGTTCTGTGATCGGTGGCCGTTGTCGCGGGCAGGTCGCATAGGCAGCTGCCTATCGGCCCTCTGATCGGTGCCTGGTGTCGCTCTGTCGCCCGCGTCGCCTCCGTTGGAGTCCAGAGATCGCCACGGTCACGAGGCCAACTGCCGGACCAACTGTGAATAGGTTATGTGGCACAGAGTGGAATTCCTACTCTCGGGGGACAGGGGCTCTCCGAGACGAGGAGCCATGGATGTTAGCACTGTAGAGTAGGCATGCTGACGGTGCGATAGCTATAGGAAAATTTATGGCTGATTCGGACCATGTTAAATAGGGAGAAGGACGTGAGAGCGACGAGGCAAGGACGCGGCATGATTTGGTAGATACTGATGCAATGCGGAATTCATTCTTATTTCCATTTCGTGTGCTGTGCCCATCTTTAGAGGTCATCGCTGGTCCCATCAGTAGTTGGTAGTCGGACCAGAGAGGGTTAAATCATGGCTGCAGATCTGTCCTGGGCTGATCACTTGTCTCAGGACGGCACGGTATGCCCCCCTTCGGCCCCCAAACTCCGTGGGGTCGACGGTCAACTCCCTGGAATCTGCAGCTGCCACCGGGAGTCCTCTCAGGAGTCTGCAGTCTTTCGAGGAAGTCTGTAACAAACATTCCGTGGAATTTACAGCTTTCTGTGGCGTTTATATGCAGCCTGGAGTCTGTACACTGTCAGACTGCAGCTTCTGATACAACGCTCCTTGGAGCTTGGATACTTTTTGTAGTCTGTGAACTATCCGCTAGTCTGTAGATTTCGCGGTAAGTCTGCCGCCCTCCTTGCAGTCTGCCTCCTCCCCGGGGCGCGGGCCGGGGAGCGTCTGTTTACACCCCGGAGCGTTCCCGAGGGGCCGTCCGCCGCACCGCCAGCCTCGTCAACAGGCGCGCCGCGCCACCAGACATCGCACAACTTTCACACTAACTGCGGAAGTCGCCCGGGCGCCGGCGACGCCGGCTCGCCGCGCCGATGTCACCGCGAATCTGTAACACGCCGGCTTTCGCTGCACCGCCAATTTGCGACAAGTTTGGCGTCGCTTTGAGCATCCGAGACTGGCTCGTTCTGGGGATTTGTTATTGATAACAGCGGCGACAGCTAGTTTCAAGAATGTGTCCCGGGAAAGGTGAACTGTACTGGCAGGCGGTCACAAGATCGCGGTGAGATTCTAGCGGAGTGCATCGGGACGTTCGTTGGAAGCCAACGTTTCCGCAGTGTATGCCGGCGGTTGGAATCGCCGCTAACCGGAACTGGCATTTCCTGGTTGGAGTTATTGTATCTTGCCGCTTTGTTCGTGCTTGTAGCGAGGTAAAGGTGCCAACGGTCCTTACTAGACAATCCGCTGAGCCGGAGATATGTTCGGGAATGTTGTTTTCTGCACGCCTCCCGGTGCCGGGGGTCGCCGGGGAGCTGTTTTCGGGGCGTGTCTTCACTCTCGGCGGAGCCGGGGCGGGCTAACGCTTCCTGATACCAGCCCTATGTGAGCGTTACTGTCAGGCCGTATTATTAACAAGGTATCCAACGCTCGGCTCCGAGCTTGTGGACCTTATCTGAGCCATTATGAGGAGCCGAGGCGCCAAACAGTGATTATCTGGGCTCTGCAAACGGGCTGAGCCGCCGACATCGGGCTTCCTGGCGGCTGAGGAGACGGGACCGCTCGCTCCGTGCTGACTCTGACTCGACGGAGAGTCACCTCACCAGCTGGGAGCTGCTAGAGAACCGACAGCGGCCGGCTCCGCTATCCGCTGAGTCCAGCCGTGTGCCGCAGTCCAGAACCTGTTTGCCATAGCGGCTCAGCCGAACGGCCGCTGATGTCCAGCCGGCACCCCGGGCCCAGCACCGCCCGACCGCAGATGGAATGTTCTGGAATTACTGTCACTGCGTATATCGCCATAGCTTAGTGCCGCGGCTGAGGTGGGTTTATATATTCCCGACCGGGGCCGGGAAAATGCGTTTTATTCACCGAGGTTTTTGTGCGGAGGACCGAGTGCCGGTAGGCACGAGGTCCGTAGCAAAAAAACCGAGGTGAATAAAACTGCATGTTCACGGCCCAAGGTTGGGAAGAGATTTACCACATGCCGTACCGGCGCAACAGTTAGTTTCATATTCATTTGATATTATTTATTTTATTCTTAATGTGGTGTTAATATTATATTAATACTATGTTCATATTTATAGTCACCGTGACTATTTTTTTGTGTTTTTCATTATTGGGCGGCGTTGCGTATGAAAGATGAAATTCCCTTCTTCCCCGGTCCCCCTTATTTACGGTTTGAAAAAGCTGAGGATGAAGATGGTGAAGCGTCAGAAGTAAGAATAAAGATATGGAGTCCTCTTCCAGCAGAAGTGAGGAAACCGTGAGGAAAACTGAAAATTGGGTGAAACGCTGAATCAAACGCGTCTTGGATACCAGCTGGAACAATGTCAAATCACAAATGTTTCATTGTGGCTCGTTAAGATGCTTCGCGCATTTAAAGTGTTCGTTTTTTTGCGTGCATTATGGTGTAATAATGAGTACTCTGACCATGTTCTGCAGCAATACATACATTGGCATTGGAACGATACCTACCCTTGTTTAGTTGAATTACGTTGACAGCAAAAGTAAGTGAAAACGCAGTCACTTAATTTTGCTCACTTCTGCTGTTGCTGTTAGTGAACACACAATCCGTAAATATCTTCTTTGGAATTGGTTCTTCCACTCAGAATATTCAGTAAAACTTTGTCTGGGAAAATCAAAAAGCCCTAGGGCCGAATCGTTTCCCAAATACCTTCAACATTAGCCGAGGCGGGCCGAAGCCATTTCCCAAATGCACGTGCTAATGTTAAAGGGATATCTCGGCATGTGGTAAAACTGGAGATTTGAACCCTGATCTCCCGCCCATCGATGCACATATCCATAATGTGGAACGTTGTGTGTAAAATACTAGTATGTAACACGTGCCTGGCATGTGCCCGTAACAGTGTTATGCACACGGATCACGTGTTATCGCACACATTGTCTACGTCTTGGTATATTTACACATATTATTTATCAACGTAAAACCTATCTCACCACATCCTTATGTTCATGCGATGTGATTTGCATTGTTATTTATGCACACATATTGAAGACGTTCCTTGAATTTAGATTCACCTCTCGTTCATCTGTACCTAACGTGTCCGTATGTGGTCTGTTACAGCGAGTGGGACCCAGCATTCGGAGCGGCCCCAGCTTCTGCCCAAAGATCAACGCGACTACCGATGGCGACACCGAGATCCTGGTGCCCTCGGGCAGCAAGAAGGCCATCAAGGTCAAGGTCGAAAACATCGTGGTAAGTGTCGGGGAGAGTGACCTAGTCAATTTCTGTAGCAGAGTGGCTTGGCTAGGATCGACAGGTTGGGGTTAAATTTGAAGCGTATTTGAGGCTGAAGGAGAGAGGAAAGTGATAACAGATCGAACCTCGTTCGTTGCACCCGGGATAACAGTGTTCTCGGTTGAGTGGGTTTTCCACCATCGCCCGGTCACGTTATCTCCAGGCAGGCTGAACTGGAGGATGCAAAATGCGAGAACTCCCAGTCAGAATGAGGAAATGTGGCGGTACCACCGGCCGGTGATAAAAACGCCGCATTACGACCGGCCAGTCGTGTCCGCCAGGCGAGATAGCCGGCACCTGTGTCACGGCGCGCCCGGATAATACCCCTCTCCGAGCCAGAGTTTTTGCGCGCCGTCCATTCCAGGCCCATGAAGGCTGCGGGACAACCTGCAAACCCGCCCGCCCGACGACCATTTTTGTTGTCAGACCGCATTATCAGCTGATTCTTTTGCAGTTTGAATTATCACCGCGAGGCGACAATAGTTCACTTGTCGAATTTCTGCAGTAAACAGGATACAAATGACAGAGCCATTTGGAATTACGGCCTTGTAGCCGCTGCCAGCTGTTGGGTTTTATTTCGCTGCGTATCCCATGGCTGCGTGGGAATGCAGCTGTTGTCGGCTGGTTCCCGTCTATAAAAACTGCAGCTCGCCAAAGGCGTGCAGCGTCCGACAGCTCCCATGAGGCTGGCCGGCTATATCAGGCTCTATAGGAGCGTGCAGGGACCACGCCCGGCCGGGGTGGGGCTGGGGCGGAACAGGGGACTGCAGATGACCCCCTGACCTGATTGGACCGGTCCCGGACAATATGGGGTGCTGTACCGGTTATTGGCGCCGTGAGCACAGTGCTGGTGACGCCCTCGAGACACTCCTCATACCCCGTCAAGCGACTGTTATAAACTCACAGGTCATTGGCGAATATGGTCATGGTGACCTCGGTGAGACTGAGCCAGTCGATGGTTCCTCTCACCTCGGGCCATTCACGTGGCCATATATCAAAGCATCTGTCACCTGATTTGTACCGTCCCAGTTCTGGGGTCTCAGCTCATAGCACACATACGTTAGCACGCCCACCAGTAAACCTCGCCTTTCCCTCTGACTTTTGATACTCTGTATCGCACCACACTGAGACGCTCCGCCCCTGAAAACCCAGCGAACGACGGGTGCGGTCTGAGGGTCCTATATCTCGGCCTCTCCCCGCCCGACCGCGGTGGGCTTGGCCAGAAACCATCGGCCGGCTGGGGCCAGAGAGCGACGGCCCCGGCTCACGAGACGCGTGACAAATGCGGCGCTGAGAGGCACGTCACGGAGCGCGCCCACTTCCGCCGCCCGGCCGGGCGGAACTAGGCGGGAGGGAGGCGGAACGGGGCGAGGGTTCGGTATTCTGCTCTGTAATCGCTGTGGGATTTCGGTCTGACGTCGTTTTCCTTTTTATGGGAAGTTTGCTTGCCTTTTTTAATTTAATTGAGCACGGTTCGAGAAATGAAATATGATCCTTGGTGGGCTAATCATCTCCCTGTCATCGGTGTCAGAATTGCAGCTCTCATAGCCCTCATGCAATCGTCATTTATCACAGCCACTCTCTGCTATGCGTTGTCTCGGCTTATTTTTTTCAGTAATCTTGTGTTTAGATATAACCTGGCAACCTGACCTGACCTGACCTGACCCTGCCCCGTTCTCTCTCTCTCCGCAGCGCCTGATCGCCTCCGGTCAGCTGGTCTGCCAGTTCAACATCGAGGGCCGCGTGGCCTCAAAGAAGGCCCACCTGCTGGGCAGCGACATCGTCTGTGACGACATGACGTTTTCGTACAGCGCCAAGCGGCCCAACACGACCGCTGCCTTCGCTGTGATCTGGGGCGGCAGCAGACCGCTGGACAACCCGCAGAATGTCCGAGGTAGGTGGCCTGACAGGGGAGGCAAGGGGGAGAAGGGTTGAGTGACAGGGAACATGGAAACGATATTTGGTTACTTGGTGAATCATACTGACTTAGTGGTTGCGTTACATTGTAAGCGATTAAATGTTTGAGTGTTTTTCTTGCTTGTGGTATCCAGCACATGTATCGGCGTTGATTATGGTTTTCATTTATTGGTAGTTGATGCCGGTGCTGTTTCGTTGATTATAAATGTCCGCCGATACTGGGGCTGGTTGGCGGTGACCACTGACGCTCCCCCCCCCCCTGTCCTCCAGTTCTGGTATATCGGTGCTCTGAGATGGCCGACAACTGCGGCGAGTGTCTGGCGCTCGACTCCAAGTTCAACTGCGGCTGGTGCCAAACCAGCGGCCAGTGTGAGGTCAGGGAGGCGTGTGCGGCCCCCAGCTGGCTGGACCGCCACCAGCCGTGCCCCGACCCACAGGTCAGTGGTGTAGCTCCCGCCGTCAGGTCCCTCCCGCATTTACTGCACGTCAGTCCGCATTTACGCAGTCTGTCCTCATGGTCACTGCCCTGGAGGCTACTGCCCTGGTGATCATTGTTGCTAGGTGGTTACTGCTGCGGGTGGTGAGCTGATCTGCGACTATGTCGTCAAACCAAACGGTATCAGACGTAGCTTTTACCCAGAGACGGTTAATCAGTGGCTGATAATGATATCCACGGCTTTATGTGTCTTCGATAGATAGTGGCTCATTTTTATTTTTAATTATTCTTATCTATTTATTTTTACCGTGACTTTTTCGCGCTAGATGGTACTGTAGGCACCACACACGATGAGCTACATATTTTCGCATTCAGTCTGCCTGTTGACGATATTGCCCATTGTGTACGCCGTTGAGCATTCCTGGGGCGAGGATTACCCTGTTGCAATGAATGTTTGCAGCCTTGGGTGATTCTATGTAATTGATATCATGATCCGTCAGGCCTCAGCCACTTTTTACTGAAGTCGCAGTTAATCTGCGGCTAATGTTCCTGTCCGACATGAGCCTGCCTTACATGTGCGACGGAGCCCGATCATGTATTCCTAACGCATAGGATGACGCTGTCCGGCCGTTTCGTTCACCTCATCTAAACGCCTGGCATAGTTGGAGCCGATTCATTATACAGCAATGCACATTGTGCTGTCGTGTACACATTTGCGCTAGGTGAGGTGTATCCCGGATACGGGCGCTGACGTCTGTCCGTCACTGACCTCATGGCTCACCCTCCTCTCCGTCACCGACAGATTCACGACTTCAGACCCAAGTCGGGGCCGTTCGAGGGAGGCACCAACATCACCATTACGGGCATCAACCTGGGCAAGACGTTCAGCGACATCTACGACCAAGTGACAGTGGCCGGCGTGCCTTGCAAGCCCATCCAGGAGCTGTACGTGCGGACCCGACAGATCGTCTGCGAGGTGGACGGACCCGGGACCTATGACGTAAGTGGATCGGCCGTGACACAGTACATCTCTGTGGAGTCTGGCTGGTGGCGTGTGGTGCCGGTGTGTGGAAGCCAGTAGCTGGTGTTGATGGCTATTTAGATGTGATTGGGCCCCCGCTGAGCGCTGATGCCGCTGATTGTTTAAATGAGATGATGGAGGGCGCTCGATACCTGTTGTCATTAATGATGCTGTGCTGTTTTAATCGGTTCCGATCGGTACCTGATCATTATTCAGCTCACGCCGGTCATACTGGCTCCTTGGGAGGCGGCCCTCCACCCTTCGAGCAGATGCTTTATGAAATTACCCACTGCTCGCTTATTAGCGAAACAGTGACGAGGAAGATTTGACCAGTCGAAAACAAAACATGGATTGATCGTTTTGCCACCCGTGGTTTGATTCGTCCAACGGTAAATATCACGCGGAGTAATTGATTGTGCCTTCTATCTGCTGTTTGGTATTGCACCGCTGTTCTGCACTGTGTATCTCTGCTATCAGACCACCCTCTCGCCACACCGACCCATGTGACCGGACCCCTCCGTCTCTGTTCCAGCCCCCTCTGAGCGGCCCCGTGTTGGTCCGTCTGGCCACCTACCAGGCTCGCTCCGAGCGCGACTACCGCTTCGTGAACCCGCACATCGAGAGCATCGAGCCGACGCTGGGCCCGCGCTCGGGCGGCACGCGGCTCTCCATCCGCGGCCGGCACATGAACGCCGGGCTGGCGATCCGCGCGCAGATCAACGACCTGCCGTGCCGCGTGGTCAGCACCACGGAGACGGAGGCGGTGTGCATCACATCCGAGGCGCCGTACGCGGCCGAGGGCGGCATCCTCACCATGACCTTCGACCGGTCGCGGCGCGAGCTGCGCGGACAGACGTACGCCTACATGGAGGACCCACGCGTACAGGACGTGACGAGCGGGCCGAACCCGCAGTACAAGGTGCCCAAGGGCGTGCCGGCCGGCGGCATCACCATCACGGTCCGGGGGGAGAACCTGCAGTACGTCCGCGAGCCGCGCATGGCTGTTCAGCTGGAGGGCGCCGAGTACCGCAGCGTGAGTACCGAGCGCCGTAGCATGAGTACCTAACGATTACCGAGTACCGCAGCATGAGTACGTAATGAGTACCGAGTACCGCAGCGTGTGTACTGAATTCTGTCGAGTATTGTGTACAAGATCCTGCCGAGTGTAAGAAGGAGTGTAAGAAGTTGCCGATAATCGTGGCGTTGTTGTCGATCGACCGTGCTCGCCCGCCCGGTTCGTTGAGTTCTGCTGCATGGTTGATCTGATCTAATAGGCCTATCGGGATGTTAATCGGCCCAGCTCAGTCGGATATCTTATGAGATCGGACTCGCTAGGCGCTATCTATTTTCCTTCCGTCTCAATTCTTGGAAACCGATCAGCCAGTAAGAAATAGCATAAACAAACAGATTTACGAGTTGCGACAAAGTTATGTCATTCAGCATTACATTGCGACTTGCGAGTGAGAATGTCAACAGAGGTGCGCTAACATGAGTGCCTTTTTCCAACAGGATCCGTGTAAGGTGATCAATGCCGGTTTGATGACCTGCCAATCTCCAGTAATCAGCGGGTTCCCCGACCCCACCGGCATCGACCCGGAGAAGCCCAAACTGCTCAACTACGGATTTCTCATGGATGAGGTGCGTACCAGCGCGAGCTTACCCGCGCTCGCCGTGTTAAAATGGTCCGTGGAACGGTGCATCCTGACCTTGTGGGGCTTTGTCTGTCCTTCCCGGCACAGGGTGAGGCGGCTTTAGGGTGCGGTTTACAGTTATGAAGGGAATGGTAATCGCGCGATGTCCTTCCACAAATGTGCGATAAGATAAGCCGAAGTTTATTTTGTCCTTATCGCTGTTATTTTTACATAACTGGCTGTTTTGATATCGGGCGAACGGCGTGCAGTAGTCGATCGGCTTTCCGTTAAGTTTCCGTTATTCAATGTCTAGCACGTCACCCTCTAACCTTCTAACGTGTCGCTAATCGATGTCCCTTGCGTCCTCTCTCACCTCGTATGTCCATTTCGGGTGCGTCCTTCTCACCTCTCTAACCGCCGCTTTCACTCGTCTCACAGGTCCGCTCGGTGAGAAACCTCTCTTCGGTGAGCGGCAACGGCTTCTTTCAGCTCTTCCCCGACCCCGTCTACAAGCCGTTCAGCGAGGAAGACGGCATCAAGTACTACAAGAGCGACTACCTCACCATCAACGTACGTACAAACTGAGAGCGGCTGATGTCCATTTGTTACCTGTCGTAATGTCGATTCCGCTTTTATAGCATCATTTGCCATAGCTGGTTTTATGACATGATGCGGTTCCCATACTGCCTTTGATGTTCACATTGCTGTCGATAACTAGCTGACAAATTATCGTTATATTTGTAGATGCGTCGTGATATTTCGGGTGGTTTGGTGATCGTAATCAGCCTAGCAGCGGATCGTGTTTGCGGAAAAGGCAATATTTACCGGGTGCGATTCCGGTGAAAGTTACACCACTGGGGGGTTGTTTCGGGCCTGTACCGTGCACGGTTGAATGACTGCGCGTTTTTTGCCACAGGGGAGGAATCTGAACTGGGCCTGCAAGGACACAGACGTCACAGTTCGCATCGGCACCGGCTACTGTAACGTGACGTCACTGTCGCTCAGTCAGCTGACGTGCAAGCCGCCCAAGAAGGCGCCGCGGGCGATCGGCGCCGACGGCCAGCCGACCGACCAAGAGCCGCCACAAGTTGTGGTTAGTAGCGCCGCCCGCAGGTGGCACTGCGGGTCGACAATCGTGTGGTAAAATGCGACGACTTACTGTCCCTGCAAACCGTTTATGGATAGCATTGTTGAGGTTCTCTGCTCAGTTACTGTTAGTTTTGTATCTTCAGACGTTCTGTCATGAAGTTTCATGCGTAGCCCGTCATTCGACCCAACCCTGACCCTTTCATCTCCTTTCTGCAGGTCAGTGTGGGTAACAAGCTGAACTACACGATCGGCCGCCTGTCGTACGCCGGTGCCAACGGCGGCGAGGGCGCCCTGCCACTCTCGGTAAGAGTTGTCCTTTCCTCGGGCAGGAAAGACAGGGACTTTATATCTCTGTAGCAGCTCTCTAAGAGGGAGTGCGGGGGGGGGGGGGCTGAATGTAGCTACACAGTAGCTGCTGTATAACGGTTATTGACTGTGCTCATATTTACCAATGAGTTTTCAATGTTTATTGCCTGATTTCCTAACTGATTGGTAGCTTTCCTTTTCCTCCACTCTGTGAGTTTGAGGCGATGTTTGACTCTCCCCCTCCCGCCTCCAGGTGATAATCGGCGTGATTGTCGGCGGCGTGGCGCTGCTGCTGCTCGTCTTCATCATCCTGATCCTGTACCGGCGCAAGTCGTCTGAGAGCTCCCGCGTGCTGAAGAACATGCAGGAGCAGATGGACGTGCTGGAGCTCAGGGTGGCCGCCGAGTGCAAGGAAGGTGCGTGAATTCCTACATGGCTGAGTTTTGGAAAGAAGGTTGTTAGAGCCACAGATGGGAAAACACGCTGAAATGGTGACTGCTTTCTATTTTTGCCTAGCGTCGCCGAATCACTTGGTTAAAAGCAATGTCTTTCGTTAGGACTTGGCCAGATGAAACAAACTGTAGCCTCATCGTGAGCTTTCTGACAACTACTAGTAGCATATAGCGCTAGCACTTACCGTGTTCATTCACCACTCATGCTAACCCTGCTGTTCTTGCGACCGGCAGCGTTCGCGGAGCTGCAAACGGAGATGACGGACCTCACCTCGGACATCACTGGCATCGGCATCCCCTTCCTCGAGTACCGCGCCTACTGCATGAAGATCCTGTTCCCCAGTCAGGAGGACCACCCAGTGCTGCAGTGGGCCAACCGGCCCGACCTGCAGCGCCGAGAGAAGGGGCTGCGGCTGTTCGGACAGCTCATCATCAACAGGACCTTCCTGCTGTGCTTCATCAGGACACTCGAGAGCAACCGATACTTCAGCATGAGGGACAGGTGAGCGGTCTGTGAATTAGTGATCTGGGCCGCTGAGCTTAGGAATATTTAGATATAAACCGGTCATAACTAGATCGAAAACGCTGAAGCACTCGGATCCCTTGCCGTAACAATTTCTTGTAATAACTGTATTTGAGAAGTGTGGCCGTTTTGCTCCATTGTCCTCTCTTTTGCAATCCCCGTATTTTGTTATGCCGCTCAAGACCCCGTGCCCTGTACCTGCCTCCCACGTGTCTCACGACCCCCGCTCGGCCGGAATGTAATCTGCGCTCGGCCGGCCGGTGGGATCGTGCCAAGCGGACCCGACCCGACCGATTTCCGATTGTCGAGAATGCAATCTCCCCCTCGACATGGGTCCGCTCAAGTTGAGGGTCGTGACGGGCCGGCCGCCGCTTTCTTTGGTCTCCGGATGGCCGCAGGGGAGATAGCCCGTGGAATGTCGATGTGAAGTGTAAACGCTGGGAATGGATCCGTCTGGTGGCTTTCGATCAGTGAATTCGACTCGTGCCTCTTGATAGCAGGTCATTTAGTACTCTGAGTGGCTCTCAGAGGGATAGTTCTTTCAGCGGCAGGGGATGGATTTGAATATGTTACCGATCCTCAGCCTAGGGAAAGTATTCTCCAAGGTGCGCTGACCCTGTGACCTTTCTGCCCTCAGGGTAAACGTGGCTTCGCTGATCATGGTGACCCTCCAGTCGCGGATGGAGTTCTGCACGGAGATCCTGAAGACACTGCTCTCGGAGCTGATCGAGAAGTGTACCGAGACCAACGGATCGCACCCCAAACTGCTGCTCAGGAGGTGAGAGAGGGTGGCGGCAGGACAGGGGGCTCTGATAGCTTCAGAAGTTATCGAAAGACTGACTGAGGGCAAAGAGCTCACTCAAATAACGAGCACCCATCGTTGCCTTGAAATATTTTGCAGAAAATTTCTTGTTGTGTAATTGACTCGTATGACTTTTTATTGTCACACACCATGTCGCATTTTCAACGGATGTCCGTCAGCCCGGTTTTATTATCTAACGTCTCCCTTGCCGCCGTCAGGACCGAGTCTGTAGCGGAAAAGATGCTCTCCTCGTGGTTCACATTCCTGCTGTACAAGTTCCTGCGCGAGTGCGCCGGTGAGCCGCTGTACCTGCTGTACCGCGCCATCAAGCAGCAGGTGGACAAGGGCCCGGTGGACGCCGTGACTAGCGAGGCGCGCTACTCGCTCTCCGAGGAGAAACTCATCCGGCAACAGATCGACTTCACATACATGGTGAGTGCTGAGCTTGGAGTGATGGGACCGAGTTGTTGGAGTGAGGACTAGGAAAGAGGCTGGGTTACCCGGGGTTGAATGTGGGCTCAAATGCGAGATTGAACTGAGTGTTTTGTTCGGCAACAAGCAAGACATCTGATTTTGCGAACGTTATATGTTTATTGTTCTTGTGATTGTTAATTGCACATCATCCGTTGACTTTTCTCCGACCCATCTCACGACTCCCCGTTGACCTCCCGCTGACCTCCCTGCTCGGCCGACAGACGGTATACGTCTCCATGCCGCCCCAGACCGTCTACGTGTCCGGTCTGGACCCGCACCAGGACAACGTGGACATCCCTGTCCGTGTCCTGAACACGGACACCATCAGTCAGACCAAGGAGAAGAGCCTCGACTCCATCTTCCGGTCGACACCGTTCTCCATGAGGCCGCGGAAGGAGGACCTCGACCTCGGTAAGAGAGAGAGCGGCGGATCGGGGCTTGGGAGGGTATAGGTGACGCTAGAGTCGCTGCGATGTGCTGTAGATGTCTTGGTTGCGATTCTGGGATTTTGTGCCAATTGAAAGTAGCTTTAGAGGAGCTTTCCCTAGGAAATGGCATGGAATATTCGCTGATTGTGTGATTGTGTTATTAGCAATCTGCGATTGGCGGACTTGTATTTTGAAAGCGAACGATTTCATGTAAGCAGTTAATAATCGTTTATTCAGGGCCTAACTCCGGCTGTACACGTTTACCGTCCCGGCCCCTTCTGACGCCCTCTCTCCGCCACTAGAGTGGCGCAGCGGCACCCAGGGCCGGCTGATCCTGAACGACGAGGACGCCACCACCAAGCTGGACAGCGGCTGGAGGAAGCTCAACACCCTGTCACACTACCGCGTGCCCGACGGAGCGCTGCTGACCCTGGTCCCCCGTCAGAGCTCGCTCTATAACCTGAGCATTTTCTCGGAGAAGTCTGACAAGTCTCAGCACAAGTACGAGACGCTGAACCTGACCAAGTATGGCGCACAGAGCCCGCCGCTGAGCCGGGCCATGAGTCCCAGCCAGCAGGAGAACGGCGTCAAGGTGGGAGCAGAGGTGCGACTCATACTTGTTTGGGGACGGGAGTGGACTGGGGGAAGGATAGGATGAGGTTTATTAATTATTTATAGCTTGTCAGGTTTACACTTTGGTAATGTGTAGTTCTATTTCATAGTGTAACTTATTTTACTTTTGTGAATTTTCTCAACCTACAATATTATTTTGCCAAGTTAATGATGATTTTACTCATTAGACTTACGAATAAGAATGTCTTATGCCATTTATCAGTTCGATTTCGTGCTTCTGTGATGCTAGGATGCCAGCATGAGCTGATCATAGCTGTTCCCTCGTTTGTTATGCAGTGTGTAACTCCCCCACTCCCCAATTGTCCACAGGCGTGGCACCTGGTGCGACACTCCGAGTCGGAGCAGCGCGACGGCGAGCGCGGCAACAAGATGGTCTCGGAGATCTACCTGACGCGTCTGCTGGCCACCAAGGGCACCCTGCAGAAGTTTATGGACGATCTGTTCGAGACCATATTCAGCACGGCGCACCGTGGCTCCGCGCTGCCGCTGGCCATCAAGTACATGTTTGACTTTCTGGACGACCAGGCGTTCAAACACGGCATCATGGACCCGGACACAGTGCACACGTGGAAGAGTAACAGGTACGTCGGGGTAGAGGGAGGAGAGGAGGAGAGAGAGAGAGAGAGGGGAGAGCAGGAGAGGAGGAGAGGGAAGGGTGCAGCTGCAGTTCATATAACAGGGATGTTTTTATGAGTGGTTATACTTAACCCACGAGCCGCTGGGGGGGGGGGCATAAAGTTGCCCCCCCCCCTTTACGTTTTGTGAAATATCTCCGAAACCTGATGAGTTACGAACGTGAAACTTGGCATAGCTTCAAATGAATACCTAGGCAATCTTTGAGGAAAGTTTGGTGGTTGTAGCACCTAAGATGACGTCACAGTGACGTCATAAAGTTTTGTCGTTTTCCGATATGGACCGTTTCTGATGACGCTGAGCATGAAACTCACCTGTAAATGAACTAGACAGCACCTGCTGTCATCCTAAAACATCTAACTACACTTCCATCTAGTTTCTGACCTATAATCAACCCTTTATATTCGGTCCCATATATCTGATGTATCGTGAGGAATATGAGAGTCGCAAATCTACAATTTCACTTATGACGTCATTGTGACGTCATTTCAAATGGGATCGACACCAAATTTGGACACAACGTCGGCTAGGTATTCAGGAAGATGTGTGCAAAGTTTCGCTTCTCTATCTCTTCGCGTTGCGACGATATCGTCGCAGAAGTAAAGGGGGGGGGGCAACTATATGCCCCCCCCCAGCGGCCGGCGGGTGGCGCGGAGGCCCAGCGGCCGCCGGGGGAACTAATATGTTTGTGTGCGGTTGTATTGTTTGTGATGACTTTCATATTGATTTGCCATTGTCAGGATATTCATTGTCAAGGTGTTTCGTAACCGTTATTCAACCGGTGTTTAACGTCGGCTTTGACACCTGCGTCCCGTCCGTTCACAGCCTGCCACTGCGGTTCTGGGTGAACCTGATCAAGAACCCCAATTTCGTTTTTGACATACACAAATCCAACATCGTCGACTCGTGCCTGTCGGTGGTGGCACAGACCTTCATGGACTCCTGCTCCACGTCCGACAACAAGCTGGGTAAGGATCGGCCCGCGATCAGCAGAACAGTCTTCCCGGAGAATATAGGCTTGTTCTCCCGAATGTTTATTGTTCAGCGCATCGCTAAAATGTCGAGTTTATTGGTAATAACCTTAGATGGTCTTGTTTTCACGTTGTTCAGTAGTGCGGTCAGCGGTGAATGTTTTATTATTTATTTAGTGGCAGGTCAATTCATCGTAAAATGAACTTTCGATGTTGACCAAACGTCCTGTCATTTGCCGCTGTCTCGTCCATAACTCTGAGACAAGTTTCGAAGCCGTTCAACAAAGTGGCGCCATTAAATTCGGAGCGGTCATTTTTCCCGGGGCCTGTCTCCTGACTGTGCTATCTCGCCGTGCAGGCAAGGACTCGCCGTCGAGCAAGCTGCTGTACGCCAAGGACATCCCCATCTACAAGGAGTGGGTGACCAAGTACTACGACGACATCAAGATGATGCCGGCCATCTCCGACCAGGACATGAACGCCATGCTGGCTGAGGAGAGCAGGGTAAGACGCGCGAACATTCAGATCCGATTTATTCACTTCTGTAAAATGATCATCGTTAGAAGAAATGCTGAATGTCTTGCCATTGCTGACGAAAATTTGTTTTATGATAAATTCAACGAAGACGTTCATGATTGATCCGATCATTTACGTCTTACACTAAGCTTTGCCCATTTTTTGCGTAATACCTTAAATGTATTTATTAATACTTAAAGAAAATATGTTGTTCGTTGCATGCAACACTCTGTAGTCGCTGTCATGTTTTGTTTCTGTATCTGGGTTGGGGAGGGCGGGGTTGGTACCGCAGGGTGCCTGTCTGTCCTGATACGGAACACATGAGCCCAATCTGTTATGATGGAACCGTTTCTGTCAACACGCTAAATTTATGTGATCGGTCGAAATTGGCGGGATGATCTGGAGGGGGTCTTACGCCCGGGTGCGGGGCTATTCGGCAGTCTGCCGTGCCTGGCACGGATTGGAGGATGAATAGAGGCTTCTGAGTTCAAAGCCCTTAACATTTCATCGCTGTTTATGGCCGGCATTTGCCATGTGGCAGTTGGTGCTTTCTAGAATTCCAAACTGAGGCGCCTCTGGCTAGTCGTCTCTTGTCCTTGGAGCACAGTATTTCGCTGCAGTTTTAAGCAGTTGCTCGCCTCAGGTGACCTGTAAATTTATTTACCCTTTCTTTCTCCTCTGCCAGGTGCACCAGCAGGAGTTTAACACCAACTGCGCGCTGCACGAGCTGTACGCTTACGCCGTCAAGTACAGCGAGCAGCTGTCGGCCAACCTGGAGGAGGATGAGTTCTGCAACCGTCAGAGGCTGGCGCTCAAGCTGGAGCAGGTGGGTTTGGCGGACGAAGCTGCCGACGGTGGCAGTCAGCCTGTCAGGAGGATGTGTGGAGTTTAACTTAGTCATGTTGCCTCGACTTAAAGATATTACGTGGTAGGTGGAAGAAGCTTCGTGGAATAAGTAATGACTTCGGGCCTGTTCAGTGATTTGTTTTGAAGTTCAGGCGGGGTCAAACTACGAACTTGTCAGGTCTTGGCTTGCTTTTTATTGATTATTTCTGTGAGCAGCCAGCTGGCCAAGATGAAGTGGCGCATTGGCCGTAAAACTGGATCGACACCAATGCAGTGACCGCCACACCCTGACCTTAGACAATATCTAGAGACACACTTTGCGACCCATCTGTGACCCCTCTGACCTCGCCGTAACACCTCTGACCATCTGTGACCCCTCTGACCTCGCTGTGACCTCTCGGCAGGTGCACAAAATCATGGCTGGCGAGCCGGACCCCTGACAATTACAGTCGGGCGTTCTGGAGTGGACCGGCTGGACGGGAGAGTGGCAGTAGACGCCCATACCGCGGCCCGGCCGCCGCCAGCGCCCCTGGCGGCCGCCGCCGACAACTGATCTCACAGACCGACTGGCCGCACCCACACTCCGGCGCCCGATCTAGCAATCAAAAGGGCCGGGCGATGCCAAGGAGTCCGCGGAACAGACGCTAGACGAGGAGTCCTCTGGAGTCCGGAGTCCCAGCGCGGCTTGACGTGGCGCTGGTCTATTGTGATACTTGCTCTCGATATCAAATGTGTCCTGTTTTCGGTGATGTGGGGCCGCCGAAGCGGCTGAACCCTCTGCCTCGATGTATGGTGTGTGTCTGTGTGCGCGCGTGGCTGTTGCGGTGTCTGTGTGGCCATGTGGCCGGTCCCTCTCCCTGAACGTGCCTGGCCGTCGCCAACTCGCGGTGTCGCGTCTGTGGGCGGGCGGTCGCCTTCTTCCATTTGTGTGTGTGTGCGCGCCCGCGCCCTGCCTGACTTCGTTACCCGCGGAGATGGCCTTTCCGCGCCGGGTAATCCAATCTGTCAACAAAGATCGCCTGCTTTTCGGGAGCTGACATGAGAAAACATTATCTCTAGTGTCACAAGAAGCTGATTTGTGGGGTTTTATGTCTGGTCTACGCTTTTTGTCGACTTTTTATTCCTGAACGCTGCTGAGGAGCGACCGCGCTGTTCTGTAGGCGTTGCGGTGTCCATGCTTATCCGAGATGACTGCTGAGCTTTCAACCGTACCCCTGAGTGTCGCCGGTCGTACCGGGGTGGTACGAGTGTACCCTGCCGTTCCCTGGGCGGGGCACGGCTCGCTGTCGCGTCATGCTGCCGTGTCGACCGCTGGTACTTATTGTCCCGAGTCTGTGCCATCGCCATCCCGCTGGGACGTTCGTGCTGGCCGCTCCGGCGCCGGAGTCGGTCCGAGTCGGAGTCAGAGTCAGACTCGGAGTCGCGGCGGGCCCGGGGGACGGCTGCCGGCGCGGCGCTGTATTGGATGTTCTCAGGTATGCCGCGTGAGTGTCCGGGAGCGGGAGGGAGGTCGGTGTGTGTTTTATCAGCGGCAGTCGGCGGAGCTGACGGGCGCCGCCGGCGGGCCGCAGTAACCAGCATTTATGTGCGCGCGTGGCGACTGAGTGATTTTGTAACACGGACGCGGATTGTTTGTTTTTTATTGGATCTAGTCTCACAGCCAATCCGCGGGGTGATGAATTTTCATGTACATTGACGGCTCCCTGCGTCAAGGGCGCCGCTAGGAACATGGTTATTGTTATATTATGAATGTATGTGTTTGTATTCGTGTACAATGTACATCACGCTCATTGCTAAAATACATTTTTAATGAATTTTCCGACTGTGACACAGAAATGTCACGCTAGTGATGGAAACGCGGAAATGGAACACCGATGTGCGTCGATGGTTGTCAAAACAAGGAAGAGTTGGCCGAATTTGTCATCTGTCACCGTCACCAGGGGCGAGTCACACCTATGCGGGTGCCGGGAGCTCCCCCACCCCCACTCCGTCCCCCACGGTCAGTGCGCAGCGGCACGGGTCGCCCCCCCCCCCCCCCCCGGCTGTATCTCTGAGCTCGTTCATCAGGAACCCAGGGCGGCGGCGGCCGGCCGGCCCGCCCACCGCCCCCAGAGCCGCGCACCGCATAATCTTGCCACTGTCCGCCGGCTCGGCCGGGCTAAAAACGCCCGTCCGAGCTGGGTTGACGTCACAGGAGTCGCTTCCCGACGCGCATCGAGACGGTCGTTCCCCCGGGAGACTACGGCTGCTCGTTAGCTCCACGGACGCTTTCTGCCTCCGCTGTCGTTTGGATCATTGTATTAGAGCGAGGGATGCGACGCTAACTGGGATTCTGGGGCACGCGAGGACGGCATGGCTGCTCGTATAGCGCCGTGCCGACTGGGTGGCGCGGCATCAGATAACATAGCCGCAATCCGAGAAGGCTGCGAGGGACTCGAGTTTCCTCTCGGCTCTGAGCAGTCGCCGACCGATGTTGTTTGCCGTCTTACATCACGCACTGGTGTCAGACTACCGCCGGGGTCAAATTCACGTGCGGCGTGGTAGATCGAATAGACCGGGAGCTTCGGTTTTCGGCGGAATGAGATCGCTAACGATGGCCAGGTCAGATTACTGCCAGGCTCGGGTACGCGAGGGTGTGGTGGAGATCGAATGGATTCAGGCTTTAGGGTGTCTGGAGTGAAATGTCGGCCGTTCAGTGACGATGGCCAGACTGACTGTTATCCACTGGTGACCCGGAGCACCCACAGCGCCCCTGACCGGTCAGCCGGCTGTCTGCCAGCCGCCCGCGCTCGGCAGTGACACAGCCGCTCGTTCCTACTGATCCATTTGCCGCTGCGGCGTTCCCAGAAGCCGTTACGGCCGGCGCAGCGCCGGATGGTTTCAGCCGAGACCAGTTCTTCTCAGTTCTCACCCGTCAGCGGTAAAGGTCGCCCCACCGCGCGGCAGAAAATGCGGCCTAACTGCGCGCTGATTGATTGGGACGGCCGTGATTGGTGGGTATGGGTCGGCCCGCTGACACCGCTGACACGCACTGCTGCGACTCGAAGAGTCTGCGTCAGCAAACTGGAAAAGCGCTGACTTCTGAGGCCAGTCCCGATCTATACAGTGGCCACGTCCCACTCTCGTTCAGCAAGCCGCCGTGTGCGACGTTTAATGCTTAAATTAGTTAGCTGTACTTAACTCAACTAGCTTTGGCTTGTATGTATGATCGATATCATGGACATGAAATTGGCTCGAGAACTGAAACGTTATCCGAGGTATGTGACCACACTGAAAGAAAAAATGACACCCTGTACGGGGTATTGACGGTCATGTCAAAAATAACACCCGAGTGGGGTGTTTTGAGGGGAGTCGCTGAGCTATTATAAATGGGGTGTTTGGCGTACACCCCAGGAGGGTTTCGACGCATAGTGGGGAGTCGCAGCCGCTAAAGGGGGGCCAGCGCCGGCCCACATGGGGTTCCGTTAGACTGCAGGTGACACCCCTCAAATATCAGCCGAGCACCCCTTTTTGGTCCCTAAGCACCCGACAGGGTGTCAAACTCCCAAATTAGGGTGTAAAATATAGCAGCTCAACTCCCCTATTTTTCTGATATAACTCCCCATATTGTTCCTGACCCCCACGCGGGGAACCGCGCGCCTTCAGCAGGGCATGTCTCAGAGAAGTTTCACTCCCCTATACTTCCGAAAAACTTTCGGCGAGGATTAAATGTCCTTCGGAACGAGAATCTCAGACTATATTTATAACCGGGTGAGGAGTTACTCTTTCCGTTCGCGGCCTTGCGGCGCCCTGTAGTGTGCACGACCAACGTATGACACGGTAATCAGTCTAGATATCATCATGATATAGTTGGCCACTCTACGCTATGCACGCTTTTGCCTTAGCTCCAAACATGCACCAGCCATTCGTGAAAAACAGGTCCCGATTTTACCAACTTTAGTTTGCGCCATCTATCGGTAGGATTTGAAGCTGAAAACACGGGGTGTCACTCCAGGATAATGACACCCCAGAGGGGTTTCAACGGGGGTGTCTCAGCGACACTCCAATTTTTTGGCCTGCAATTTTTGGGGAGTTCGCTAGCCGAACCTCTCCCAAGGGGGTCATGTACATTTTTGAGGCGTCAAAAGGTAATGGGGCTCCCGTGTCGAGTGTCACAACACCCATGACATCCTAAAATCATGAAAACGGAGCCTAATTTAGGAGTATTTTGGAGTATGTGGTGTCAGATTGTAAGAAATGGGGTTCCCCGATTTTTTTCAGTGCACGCTGTGCATTAGACACATTTTTTTTTTGCCGGTACCTAGATCTGGCTGTGAAAGTAAGGCTCGACGCCAGCTACATAAACGTAGAAAGCAACGCTAACGTATACAGCCGTTGCTGGAGAAATGTTTGTTATTGTTCTTCACATGCCCATTGCCCAGATGTAGGTATGTGGCGGAATGTGATGAATGACGTGGTTGATGAGGAAGTGCAAGAGAGACGTAAGCAGAAAGAAAAATATCGAGAGCGGATACGGAATATCGAGACGTAAGCAAAGAGTGAGGACCGAGGAAAAACAAGGGGAAGTCAAAAAAGGCCACGATTAATAGAAGAAACCACGCTAAATAAATACTGCGATGAGGATCTCCTTCAGCTATTATGTGACCCAAAAACGTTCTGTCTATTTTTTTTTTCGTTCCAATCGCAAGAGCCGTCCCACAGTCCCTCTCATTAGCGAGGACTTTTTTACTGGCAAGAGCGAGGGCCAAACACACGAATATCCTATCGGTATGAGAGCCACAGAAGAGCCACAGTTCGAGTTGACGATGCCGGTCGGCAGTCATCCGACTCGGTTTGACCAGTGCCGGCACAGGCGGCCTCTCCAATCGATATCCGCGCCGCCGCCGCCGCCGCGGGCGCCGCGGTCGGGTCACGGGCTGCCCAGAGCTCTGCCCGCCGGCAGTGGCGACATCGCGGGCGGGCGGGTAGGACGCGCTGCTGACTGCCCCGGGGGCACGCGGCACGTGGAAGTGTTCGGGCGGAGAACAGAGCAGAGGTAGAGAATAGCGTACAGTGGCGAAGGAACAGACAGAGGTAAGTGGGTTGAGTTCGGGCACTGAACACGCTAGCCGCTTCCAACTCTCGACTGTCCGTTCTATAATGTAAGTTCTTAATCTCGCTTCGTTGAAATATGCCCTTTCAGTTAATTTACTTTCAGGTACGTAGGACGAGAGGGTAGGAGAGGCATTGAGCTGAGTCGACCAGGAACTGGCGCGTCGCAGACTCGGGTAGTTGGCGGAGGAGCGGGGGCGCTGCGGAGTGCGGCGGGACAGGTCACCCGTCATCCTGCCGGTTAAACGGTCACCATCACCACGGAGGGGTAGGTACGCCGCTGTGCGAGCTGCTGCTGCTCCCCGGTTATGTGAATGGAGTGACCAGCAGTCTGTAACGGGGTTGTGTGGGTGAGCTGGTCTTGAGGATAAAAAGAGGTGGTTGTTTTGAAAAGAAGGTCTTCAAGCGTCTTGCCAAATTGCAGAAAATTTTTCATCCTGCCAGCCGTGGTTCCTTAATGACAAATGAGGCTTGTCAATTGCGTGGACACGTGTTCATATTTCATGAGCCGTTGCTGGGTCGGTTTATTCGTTTTGTACACCGCTGCAGTTCCCCAGAGTCTGTCGTGCAAACACGTCCGGCTCCTGTCACAAGGCAATGGCGGCCAAATTCCCCCGAGACCCGGCCCAATCGCGCCAGTATAGAGAGCTTGCTAAACGACCAATCGAGGCGGCGCCCCTCCCCCTCTCCGGTGGGTATGGGGCACCTATATATCCTGCCGTCGAATTTAATCTCCAGCTAATTTGCTTGCTATCGGCTCAGCAACACGGTATGCGACTGAAATATATCTACCTGTCTTGGCCTTGACCTTTGGCTGGGAGGCTTGTGACGCCGCAGTTTGCTGGCAGTGCTCAGCTGGAAGTTGGGACCGCAATTAATGTGGCGAAAGTGTGACCCAATGTAACCGACTTCCTTGGGGTACACTCTAAATAACCAGTCTCTGACCTCGGAAAATAATATCATCCGCAAGTTTTTTTATTCGTCCTAATTTTTTTTCGCCAGGAGTGCCTCGGTTGTGACCTTTGCAGTTACGCCTGAAATAAGCCGGTACCACATCAGCCGAGGCTGTAAAATACAGATAGGCCGCGGGGCGAACTTGGTAATCATCCCGAATTCCCGACCCAGCTCGCCATAAATTGGTATATCCAGGGGCTATTTCGCCGGGCCTGAATTTAGAGCCGGCCTATATAGGGTCTGTTCCAGTCGCACTTCCTAACACCCCTAAACTCCTCCAAGATTGCTTCCCTGTTCCAGTGGCAGCTCTAGCCCCTACAAAGCCAAGGAGGGCCCTGCTCCAACCTCCTCTATCTTGCTCTTGGAGGAGTTTAGATGTGTTTGGAAGTGCGACTGGAACAGACCCATACTCGTATGCCGCCGGGCCACTGAGGTCCGACCTGCTCAGCGCCGCCGCTCGCTCGCTCTGCAGTCAGCGGATAGGTGCCAATGGACGACAAAACGCCGCCGGGTTAGAATGACTCCGTGACTCGTCATACTCTCGAGTGTTGCCGCGATGTAGCTTTCATCCGGTCTATTATGGAAATGGGATGTTTCCCTGCAGACAGAGCTGAATGCGTGAACGATGCCTCTGTCGTTAAATTTTGCAGTTCCCGGATCAGTGGCATAATTTAGTGGCAAAAGTTTACCTGTCTGCTGCATTTAGCCGGCACGGTAGGCATAAGGTCTACCTTAACTCAGCTCCAGTGACATTTCCAAGCCTATAGTTCCCTGGACTCTGTCAGAGCTTATAGTGGCAGGTGGCGCCCGTGACCGTTTCAGGTCTAATTGCAGTAACAGTGAATTGACGGTCGTATGGATAGGACCTCCCCCATTCGCATCAGAGCTCATTTGGCAGCCGATGGGGTGAAGTATATCATACATATACCTATCGACCGCAGATCTGCCGTTGGTTTGCTGCGTCGCTGGATTGCGAGAAGATGCCGCGCATTATTCTGACTCGAGCTTTTGATTGCGTTACGCAAGTACCGGCTACGCTTAAACAGAGTTTGTGAACACTTACAAATGTTAAAGTAACTTTTACCTATGCTTCTAGATGCTCCAAGAAGGAAAAGCTCTTTTCCCTCCACTTGCTCAGCTAAATCCCAGTTTTTCTGCAACATAGGAGATCTGGCACAATGTAAGCAATGTTTACGGTTGGTCAGCAGTGGCCCGTCCGCCGGAAGAGCGCCACTTCCGGTCTCCGGGACCGCTGCCGGCGGGACGCGATAACGACCCGGCAGAAATGATGCCGGCGACGAGTGATGAGTGCCGCCCCGTTGAGCCGGTCCGGGGAGGCGCATTATTCCGCAGAGTCGGAGGCGCCATTAGTATAGGTACTGCAGCTTATACGCACTCGCAGAAGGAGAGAGAGAAAAAAAAAACAAGACGAGGAGGAAAATGCGTTGTTGGTTCGTGCGCTATATGATTCCATGCTATCTACATACACTGACCTGACAGTTAGAATACTTTGCAGAGAAATTTGCATGGTAGCAGATTGCTGTGAATAAGCTGGATAAGTTATAAGAATGATCTGGCTATGGCAATTATTAATTGCTACGGGTTCTTGCCTTCGGTGACAAAATTGGAGACGTTTCTTTGATCTGACGAAATGCAGGAAATGTAACATGATAAGAGCCTGAGCTCAATGCACATGCGGTTACTTAGTCACCGTTTGGATTCTCATGCTATTTTTATTAATCTGTTGGCATGACAGTGCTATTTTTACGAAAATTGTGATTTATACAGTTTTTTTGTGATACGACCTCTTTGTAACATGTTTCTTGATAATGACGCGTGAGCGATGAGCGTAATGCTGTAATATAACTATTTGGCCTGTCGACGATGGTATGTAAGGTTTAGGTTACTGACTCCATCGCCTCTAATGTGACGACTCTTCCACAGGGGCCCGTCCGTCCCCACAGCGCGGTGGGGGTGGGTGTGCTCCTCACAGTGCGGAGGGGCCCGTCCCCACAGGGCAGCACGGACGGACCCCCTCCCACAGCGCGGGTGAGATGGCGAGGACCTGTCGCCGGCGGCCGCCCACCAAGCACCCCAATCACCAAATGGTGTCACCCGGTGTCCAATAGCTGGCCGGCGGGACGACTTTCCACTCCGACCCAGGCAACTGCCCCCCCCCCCCCCCCCCACCACCACCACCCCCGGGTCCCCGCCGTCCGCCATCGCCACTCTGTCTCCCTCTCCTATACATAGGTAGCTACGGACAGGGAGAGGCTGCAGGGAGCTGATGAAGTAGCTGAAACTATACAGAAGAAAAATATAATAGCAAGGAAATTATTCATTAACATCATGCAATCTATTGATTTTAAGGGACTAAAATTGACCATTTTACGTCCCATTCGTTCAAAAATGAGACAAAATCCAATGTTACCATGACGCTTTAAAAGATTCATTTATTTGTTGTCGATTGTCCAAGTTGCACATCGCTACGCAACAGCCAACAAGCAAGCGTTTTTGTCTCATCTCATGTGGAATGCCATGAACTTTAAAAAATCGCGCGTCACTCGTCAGCCTTGTGTTGGCCTTTCCTACTGATAGTAACCGTTTCCCCATTTCTGGTTGTTTTCTTCCGCCCGTACCGTAGGGCTTCGGTGCCCTGCGGCACAGTCCAGCAGCCAGTAGGCGTCTAACACCGGCACGTGCAGTCTCCATAAGACGACAGGCTGTGTGTTACCTTACCGGCCGGAGGGGATGCCGTCTCCGCTGTCACCGCCGGGTTTCGGTGGATTGTGGTGGATGCGGTCAGTGGCCTTCCTGTGGCAGTGTGGTGTAGTTCACTGGTCCGGAACGGTGACCTGCGGAGTGCGGACGGGAGCAGATATGTCTAAACGGCCACCATGTCTAATGGAATGGCCGTTTATGACCCTAGAGTCTGCGAAACAGAACACATTTGTTGTGATTCAGAACGGGATTTGTTTGCTTCTTAGAACATTTTAGATATACATATGTTTTTAACGTCTTAGGTGTGAGTAATGATATGGAAAATAATAATGTCTATTTGTACCGATTCATTAGCATGCTTCTTTTTAGAAAAGAATTTGGTCCCCCTGTATTGGACGGGCTGCTCTGTGACGGCTGTTCTCAGGCGCGATCCCACTACTGCCCGACACGGGTACTTTTGGCTGCTCGGTCACCCGCCTGGCCCGGTACGCACCTCCTTAGTCAACCTGGCGACCCCGGACTCCTCCGGGGGCCCCATATTGATGCCGGGCTTAGTGCGGACACCCGATCGACACAGACCGCCGCAGAGCAGGGCTCCCGCCCTCAAGAGATCCACAAATCCACGCCTCCGAGTAGCCGGATTACAGGAGCACGCCACCACTCCCAGCGAATGGACGACCATCGTCCGTCGGTTTTCACTTTTCACTGTAGCATTTCACTACTTGGTGTGAAGAGAAGTGTTATGTAGCCTTTTGAACTTGTATATACTTTTAATGCTTATTGTATAAAGTAGTCGTATAAAGTAGTCAACCAAACCAAGCCAAAGTACCTATATCATAATAGTATCATGTTACAAAATATGGCTACCATGCTGAACCCAGTGATTACTATTTATAACAGACATGTGGCGGCCCGATTCCTCTGTGCCCGGCTAGCTCAGTCGGTAGAGCATGGGACTCTTAATCCCAGGGTCGTGGGTTCGAGACCCACGTTGGGCGTTGCTTTTCGCATTGCCGAGCCCCTTTACGCAGGAGCTTTCTCTCACCAGCTGCCACATTACCATGTTACATTACTTCGCTCTATTACTCGCTACTTCTTTAACTTCGCAAAAGAAACCAACGCTGATCTAACCAGGCATGTTTGATGTTATATTGCTAGTAAACTTGCCTGGTCCCCAACTGCTAAAGTAAAAGTAGGTAAGAGCATGAAAACGACCGATCCTGCCAGGATTCGAACCTGGAATCTTCTGATCCGTAGTCAGACGCGTTATCCATTGCGCCACAGGACCCCTGCCATTAGGGGGAGGA